ACTCTTTCTTATCTTACAGAGGCTGCACTTGTGAGGGGGTGTGGGGTGGTACAGAGATGAAAGCGGGCGGGCCCAAGCAGGTGGGGCCTATGCATATGCCCCACATGTTCACCAGTGTGTCTGTGAATCTGTCTTTGTGAGTGGGGGGACTCTGCATGTGGTGGGTCTTTGTGTACACCCATGTGTGCACACACACGTGTGTCTTTATGTGCCAGCATCTGTGAGACAGGAGTGTCTTTCGGGGTCATCTGCCTTCCCAGCATGTGAGAGAGGGAGGAAGGCAGGAGATGACCCTAAAAGGCCGCAGTAAGTGGACCCTCCACCCCTCCTCCCTGCTTCTTTCACGATGAAGGTAACTTCTGGAGATGAGGCCACCACATTTTCCCTCTCCTGGAGCCCACTGGGGCTGGGGAAGCATGCCGCTTATCTTCAGGCCCCCACTCCTTTGGCCTGCCAGGAAGGCTGGGTGCAAGGACATTAGAGGTGGGCACCTCTTTCTTCTCCATCTCCCCCCCCCCACATACACACACACAGCCACACACACACACACACACGAGCCTCCCAGAGGTGTGAGTCATGTCAGCCCCAGGATGGGGGGTAGGGGGAGGCACAGGCGGGGGAGGGACAGCAGGGCCATCTGGTGTGTTCAGATACAACAATCTGCTAATACAGCCTCTTCCCAGACTAGTGCCCAAGCTGGGCCGGCCTACTCCACCCGGCACCTTGGAACCCAGGGTCCCAGAGACGGTGAGGCCGACAAGTCCTCAACACCCCTCCCCTGTGAGGCCAGCTGGGCAACAAGAAGCACCCCTATTTTCTAGGCGCAGAAACTGAGATACAGACACATCCACCCTCCCTAACACGAAATCCCAGTCATTTCTAGAGCAGCAAGCGTTCATTAAGCACCTCCTTTAGTGCAGGGCTAACTGAAAATTAGCTCATTGATCCTCCCAGCCCTCGAGGACAGAAGAATTGCTTGCTCCCATTTTACAGATGTGGAAATGGAGGCCAAGGGAAGTTAAGTAACCTGCACAAGGTCACACAGCTACTAAGTAAACGCCAGAGCCTGCCTTGAACTCAGGTCTACCTGACCCCAAGGCACCTGCCTTTCACCCTAAACTGGCTGACTTCCAAATCTCTCCCATGCCCCTACCCTCCTGATCTGCAGGCCTGGACCCTGATATGACCCCAAAGGTATACATAGCCGACTTGGAAATCAGGCAGGGTCAGGGTAGAGGCACAGGCTTGCGCAAGGACAAAATATGGGGCTCCCAACGTAGGCATCTTCTCTCTCCTTCAGTATTCCCAGGGACCTCTGGGGTGCCCCCTCCCCTCCCCGGGAAGTAAGTCTTCCAGTGCAGGCGCGGGGGCGGGGAGCCGATGGCCTGCAGGGCAATTGCGGTGCACTTAGCGGAGGGCCTCTCCCTTCCTGGGGGGGCGGGGGCAAGCCCCATCCAGCCTCTCCCGCCAGCCTCAGCCCTCTACCAGTGTGATAGAGTCTGCAGCACTCCCTTCGTGGGTGACAGCGCTCGCTCTCGGGAACGCCTTGACAGTGCCTTTGTTCCCCAGAAATGAAAGAAAATTGAGCTACAAAGGGAAACCTCAGGTAGCTTTTAACGGGGCTCAGCTGCCTGGGGCAGAGTGTGTTTAAGCTGGAGGCAGTTGTCGCAGGAGCAGGAGGGGGAGCCGCCTGCAGCGCCCTCCCCGCCCCTCCCTCTCCGCACTCTCGCCCCCCCGCCCCCACCCCGTGATCGTGTTTACTCAAGGAAAATGCTCCTCCGAATAGTGGCAAAGGAGAAAATCAATGGAAGTTGATAGAGAAATGCAAAGCAGTTGTGTGGTGTGTGTGTGAGTGTGTGTGTGTGTATGTGTTGGACGTGGACACAGCCTTAGCAAAAGCATGCTGTCTGGACCGAGGCTGACCTGCAAGGGAGCTCAGAGTTGATCCCTGGCACGTGCCTGTGGAGGGGAGCTGGTGGCTGGGGGAGGGGCGGCAGCCAATTCTCTAACCCGAGTTAAGAGAGAGATTAATATATTCAATCCGCTCGGGGTAATTGAGGGAACAATTGGAGTGTTTTTCTAAAGCCCATAAAACTGCCTCATTTGCAAGGAGGAGCTGACTTGCTTCATGTCCTCGGTATTTGATGGAGCGCAGAGGCCCACCTCTGCCCGGAAGGGAGGAGAAGGGGTGTTACTTGGGGTCCTGGTGCAGAGAAACTGGGACATGGGCCTGGGAGGGGGCTGGCAGCCCTTGTCTAACCTATTCATCCTCCCCACCTCTCATTACTTTGTTGATAGCAGCCCAAGCAGTACCTTCGTAAGCTTCAGTTTCCCCACCTGTAAAATGGGGCCAGTGGCACTCCCCTCCACCAGGAAAGTGGGAGGGGGCAGCAGAAGAGGGGGCTCACAGAAGAAGGGAAGACACTGACTGCAGAGGGGCACAGCAAAGGGGTGCGCAGCTCCCCCAGACAGGCCAGCTCCCCAGGAAATTAAACGGGCAGTAAAGTTAATGAAATCCATATTGTACGGCTCTCCCGTTTGAACCATTCTAGTCTCCAGGGCAATGGAAATAGTGTATGCAATAGCGAGCAATAAAAGGCATAATGAATTTAAAAGCAGAGCAGCGGGGGGAGCGTGAGGATCCCAGTGCACTGGCCTGCAGGGCTGGGAGGGTGCCGGCCTGGGGCTCCGGCCAGAACCGGGACACAGATGGACAGAAAGAGGGAAAGAGGGAGGGGGGAAAAGGGAGAGGGAGCCAGGGGGCAGGAGGGTGAGGGGAGAGGGGAAGAGGGAGAGAGGAGACAAAGAGAGAGAGACAGAGGCTTCAGACCGAGGGCGGCGAGGGGACTTGAGGTGAGGGATTGGCAGATCGGTGGCCACTGCTCCGTTCCCCTCCACTTCTCCTTAAAGAAAGCCCCCAGCCTGCTGGTACCAAGTCCACAGTCAGAAGCCACAGGCTTAGAGCCAGGTGTTTGGCGTTTGGTGATTGCTTTATTAGCTTTTAATTCTCCTTTTTTCTCCTCCAGGGCAAAAAAGAAAAAAAAAAAAGGTGTTTTAAATGGAAGAAAGAAAGAAAGAAAAAAACCCTTGAAAGCGTCACTTAAAAGGCTCCCAGGGAACTGAATCGTTTCCATGAAACAAAACTGCAATTGTTTGGAAGACATAAATGCTGGGGAGTGGCGGGGGGAGGGGAATAGGAGGGAGTGCGGGAGGGGCCCCACACCCCTCCTCGGTCTCCCGCACATAGTCTTCCAGCTCAGAGCTTCGTGGGAGACGAAGCTCCAGGGCCTGGAAAGAGAAACCCCCAGGATGGCTCCCAGAGCTTTAGGGCAAGGAATTTGTAAATTCATGTTTCAAGAAATTTTCATCACTGGGAATTTCCAGCCCAAAGTTTCCCTCTTAAACAACTCTGCCTGTGAGATATTGTCCTTAAACCTGCAGAGAGAAGACAGACCCCTGGGAGTCCAGGCCCAAGGCTTCCGTGGCCTCCCCGGGCCCCACGCCCCCACCACCCAGGAGGCCTCACTGGCCCTTGAAGAGTTCCATGAGAGTGACCCCAGATGGCCCTGCTGCTGCCCTCACCCACAGAGACATGCTCTGCCCAGCACCAGACAGGCCACCCTCATTCCAGTCTGCAACCCACCCTTACCCTGAGGAAGGAGGGGCTGTGGGGCTGGGGGCGGAGCAGCCATATGGTCTCAAACCAGCCAAGAGGAGACAGGAGGCAGCATCAGGGTATGGGATGAGTCTGGTGGAGCTCTGCTCTGGCCCAGAGAGGAAGTCGCCTAGAGATGCCCTGAGGCTGGGCCTGGAGAAGGGCCTCTGCGTGTGGCTGACAGGGAACCTGGAGGTGGTACCCCTCCCGTGCAGGATACAGCTCCCTCTGCAGCCCCTGCCTGCGCACTCCTGGATCCCCTAATTCTGGGTCAGGGGCTGAGGAAGTGACCTCTGTTCTGGCATCTGTGACTGTACGTACTGGAAATGTTATGGGGGTGGTTCTTCTGCCATCACCTCCTCACCCCCTCACATGCACAGCAGGCCGAGGACTGGAGAAGGGAGGGTCAGATGTGCACTGGCCACAATAATATTAGCTCAGGGCAATTGATTGTTCCAGCTGGGTCTCCAAGATTCAGGAAATGCTGTGACCAGCATTGCCATAGCCATTTAGGGCTGTGTAACCTGTAGCCCATAGCTGAGAAGCAAGGGCCGCCACTGACTGACCCCTGACCCTGGTCACAGACTGAGCCCTGATCCTGGCCTCACATTGAGCCCTGACCCTGGTCACACACTGAGCCCTGACCCTGGTCACAGACTGAGCCCTGGTCCTGGCCTCACATTGAGCCCTGACCCTGGTCACACACTGAGCCCTGACCCTGGTCACAGACTGAGCCCTGGTCCTGGCCTCACATTGAGCCCTGACCCTGGTCACACACTGAGCCCTGATCCTGGCCTCACATTGAGCCCTGACCCTGGTCACACACTGAGCCCTGACCTTGGTCACACACTGAGCCCTGACCCTGGTCACAGATTGAGTCCCCACCCCGCCCACAGACTGAGCGCTGACTTTGGTCACAGACTCAGCCCAAACTCTGGCCCCAGACTGAGCCCTGCCTCCTGCTCCCTGCGCATTCTTGATCATTACATTCCTAATCTCCCTCCTCCTCCCTCCCTGCCACACACCCACGACCAACATCAGGTTCTGCTTGAAAAAATAACATGCACTACGTAAGTTGGAGAACAACTTGTGAGCCTACAATAAAGCTCGAAACTGAATAGATACAACTCTTGAAATGCCTGATGCAGGACTGAGGATTGAATGGAAGGGACAAGATCCATGTTAAGGAAGGCTTCCTGAAGGAGGCAGTTTTCAACCTAGACATTTGCGTCTGGAGCCCAGAAATCATCCATTCCCGGCCTTGAACTGAATGTTGTGAAGTTGGGCTGCACCCCAAGAACGCAATTCTCTCCCCATCCTTTCTTCTTGCTTCTTTTCTTCCCACCATCTCCACCCCCTTTTTCAGCTCCTTTCTCCTCTACTTTAGTTGAGAACCAAAGAGAGCTGGGATAAGTCTTTCCTCCAGCTTCATTTTCCCTATCCACAAACAAGCAGGGGGAGGGGAAGATGGTTTCAAGGGTCCCTGTGGTTCTAGGCCGCATCCACTCCCCAAGGGAGCTGACCCACAAGCCCAAAGGACAGCCTGCAGGTCCCACCCGTCCCTGAGAACCTGGTTTTGCTGCTGTTCCTCCTGCTGGGTCTGTGAGCCTCCAAATTGCAGCACCAGAAAGGCTCCCACATTCTTTAGGCTGAACCGCTGGGCGATTTGCCTGAGCTGAAAGACACAGCCCCTCTATTCTCTAAAAGACTCCTCTCCATCGTCTGTTCCATGGAGCCCCATTGTCAGGGTTGTGATTGCTGCTCCCCCAGGAGGGAAGCGATTTTCCTGTCCCTTGAAAGCCATTTTTTTGTCTTGGTAGAAGTAGACATCTGACACTTTAACAGGGAGCATGGCAAGGAGATGATGGCTTTAAATAACAGAAATTAGAGCTGCTGCCACAGACTCAGCCATCTCGCCAACCCCCTCTCTGCAGCAGTCTCCCCTCCCTCACACTCACTGACAGCTGCAGCCTGGAAAGTCCTGTCCATGTGGCCCCTGGCTCTGGGGTGGCCAGAACGTGTGGGGACCTGGACAGTAAGGACTGCTTCTCCCCGAGCTCTGTGCTCCTATACGCCCGGTCCTGTGATAAACTGTAGGACAAAGGAGGAGGCCAAGGGGCAAAAGAAGGGGCCAGACCTGGAACTCTGGGAGCTTGTAGTTGGAGAAACGGTATGACAAGCTCACCACTGTATCCTCAGCACCCAACAAACCAAAAATCCTAAACGAAAAAAACCATCCCATTGGTAAAAGAGCTAGGGACAGAGTAGATGGCCAAAGAGTATTTGTTGACTGACGAAGGAATGAATGAACGGAAGCCAAAGTGGCTGAGCTTGTCCCCAGGTCCCTGGCTCTTCCACTCGCTGCCAGGTCAATCTACCTAAATCACAGCCCAGATGGTGTCTTTCTCCCCTATAAACCCCTTTGGTGGCTCCTCACTGCCTCCTGAATTGAATATCCACCGCTGTCTTCTGCCATTGTGCTCTTGATTCCTTCCATTTTCTTCCATCCGTGGGTCCTCTATCAGCCTGACTCAGCCCACCACCCGGGGCTCCACTTCAGCACCAGACCGGTGCTGGCTGCTGGGGACAGGAGAGCCAGGCACCACTACCAACACTGGATTCCAACCTCAGCTCATCCTCCAGCTTTTCCTTCCCTCAGCCAGATCATTCTGGACCCTTCCCCTGGAATGCCTGCCCAAGCCCCAGAATTGCCTACCGTAAATCTCACTCACCTAGCATGGAGTCTGACAGAGTCAGCACTTAGCAAATGTTGGATGGATGGACAATAATTAGACACCATGACCCACCTATTATCAAACCCGTTGTTGCCAAGTCGATTCTGACTCATAGCGAACCTATAGGACAGAGTAGAACTGCCTCACAGTGTTTCCAAGGAGCAGCTGAATGGATAGATGAATGGATGGATGGATAGATGGATGGATGGATGGATGGATGGATGGATGGATGGATGGATGGATGGATGGATGGATGAAAGTTTCATCTCAAATGTCACTTCCTTTGAGAAGCCTTTCTTAAGGCTCCAAAGTCCAACATGTGCACTCCCTCACCAGAGTGCTCCTTCTAGCACATGTCTTACAAGGCTGTGTGTGATGCCCATGTTGTAATTGACTGTCTTCAAGCTAGGTGGCACCCTGAACATGGGAACTCATCAAGCTGTGGGTTCCAAACACTATTTTTGCACTAAGGCCCCCAGAAAACGTTGGCATTAAAAGGCATCAAGCAGTCCTGGAGCTCAGTTTCTACACATGTGAAATTGATGGCTACTTACTCCACCAGTTTCCACCTGTGCTGGCTATGAGGCCTACCAGACACACAGCCCGGTTGCAGAACTTGGCCATACTGGGGAAGCCTCCTACAGCATGGTCAAGGACTGGACCCCCTGCATCTGGGCCTAAGGCTGCCGGGGTCCTGGCTTAGGGCTGAGTCCCTCCTGTCTGTAGGAAGAACTGGATGGGCTTGGGAGTGGGGGCACACAGAGCAGACTTCCATCTTCTGGTCACTCAGGACCTCCAGTGGAACGTGGTCAGAACATGCAAGATCGAGGTTAGGGGCTGAAGGGTCTCGGGGCATACTCACCCACTGCACAGAACAAAAACAGCCACAACCCCAATAAATTGGTGACAGAATATACAAATAGATCAGAATCGAGAGCCCAGAAATAGACCCACACAAATATAGCCGACTCATCTTTGACAAAGGAGCAAAGGCAATTCAAAGGAGAAAGGATAGTCTTTTCAACAAATGGTGCAGGAACAACTGGACATCCGCATGGAAAAAAAAATGAATCTGGACACTGACCTTACATCTTTCACAGAAACTAACTCAAAATGGATCACAGACGTAAATGTGAAACGCAAAACTGTACGACTTTTGGAAGATAACATAGGAGAAAACCTAGGTGACCTTGGATTTGGTGCTGAGTTTTTAGATACAACAGTAAAGGCATGATCCATAAAAGAAGCAATTGATAACTTAGACTTCATTAAAGTTACAACTTCTGTGAAAGACACTGTTAAGAGAACAAAAAGACAAGCCACAGACTAGGAGAAAATATTTGCAAAACACATATCTGATGAAGGACTTATATCCAAGTTATACAAAAAACTCTTAAAACTCAACAATAAGAAAACAAACAACCCAATTAAAAAATGGGCAAAAAATCTAAACAGACACCTCACCAAAGAAGGATATGCAGATGGAAAATAAGCATATGAAAAGATGTTCAACATCGTAGGTCATTAAGGAATTGTAAATCAAGACAATAATTAGATACTACTACCCACGTATTAGAAGGGCTAAAATCCAAAGCAGTGACAACACCAAATGCTAGGGAAGATGTAGAGCAACAGGAACTCTCGTCCATTGCTGGTAGGAGTGCAAAATGGTACAACCACTTTGGAAGACAGCCTGGCACTTTTTTACAAAGCTAAACACAGTCTTCCCATATGATCCAGCAATTGTACTCCTAGATGTTTACTCAAATGAGTTGAAAACTTATGTCCATACAAAAACCTGCACATGAATGTTTATAGTAACTTCACTGATATTTGGCAAAAATAGTGGAAGCAATCAACATGTCCTTCACCCGGCAAATGGATAAACAAACTGCGGTACATCGAAGGCGTATTATTCAATGGTAAAAAGAAATAAGCTCTCAAGCCACGAACAGACATGAAGGAACATTAAATACATATTGGGAAGCTGTGCCGCCTGCTCAGTGAGGGATGGGGGCAACGGCCAGGCTTATCAGAGAGGCTGAGATGGCAGAGCCAGAGCAGGACCCAGGGAGCACCCACCTGCAGCCTGTGGAGCTGGGGCTCTGGGCACAGTGACACCAGCTCTGGCTGGCCGGCCCCTGGAGGGCAGTTTGAGGTGGGCGGCCTCGTGGCCCGGTGCACATGGAAGGCCACGCTGTAGGCCAGGTCCCCGCAGTGGCGGGCAGTGGGGTCTGCGCTGGCCCGGAGCAGAGCCAGGGTGCCACGGTAGCGATACAGGTCCTCGTGCTCCTGAGCATCGAGGTTCATGCGGGGTTGGTCTGGGCGCGGGTAGATGGGGAAGATGGCTTCGCCCACCAGCTGGGCTGTCCTTCCTGAGGCCCCATCCAGCCTCAGCGTCTCCACCCGAAGCTGTGCATCATGATGCCTGTCATTCTTGCAGAAACCTGGTGGGGGAACCTGAGGTTCAGAGATGGGCTCTGGGTTTCACTGCCTCCTGCAGGGGGTAAGGAGGGCAGGCAAGGCCCTCAGGAGCCCTGGGCTACAAGAGTAGAAGCCAAGCAGGCTTGGCTAAGATTTCCCTGGTAGGTGATATGACCTCCTCTCAAGTCTCCCTATATCCACCACTCCCCCGCCCGCCACCATTTCCTGACACCCAGGCCAAGCCCACAGGTGGAGGAGAAAGGGCTCTTACTCTGTGAGATGGTCCTGGGTCCCCACACCAGCCTGAGGGAAGAGTTCAGCCTACCCCTGAATTCTGGCTTCCTGAAGGCCTGGGACTTGGTTTCCCCATGCCCTCTTGCTCCTTCTCCTCCAGGAAGCCTGCCTGGGTGGCCTCATAGTCTAGGCATTGATCTGCTGTTCCTTCCAGTTCACTTAACTATTCCCTGCTTGGCATTCCTGCCCCTTCACATGTTCTGGAAACTCCCAGACGGGAGGCCCTGGGTGTCCTCTCTGCCCACCCCCTACACCCACACAGTACTCAGGGCTGGGCAGTCAGGGGCTGGTTCTAATGATACTGGGTTTAATATCCACTGCCAGACTGGCCCAGAGCCTGCTGTGCACTCACAAAGCCATTTCTCGTCTGTCTTTTTACTTCTTCCTCATCGGACGCTATGCGACCAGCACCAGCATCCCCATGTCACACTGAAGGAGGCACAGGCTCAGAGGGCAGCATTTGCCCAAGGTCCCCCAGGCAGAGCTTCAGAATTAGGTCTAGAGCTCTGCCTTTGCCCCTCCCAATTCCAATGGGGCCCCCTGGGGCCCCCAGAAGGGGCAGGGCAGGGGTTTCCGGCTCTTCTTCCCCCACTCCCAACCTTACCTCGTACCTTTGGGCAAGGTGAAGACAAACTTGTTCCTGGTGAGGGCAAGGCTCTGGCCGGGATCCTGCTGCTCAATCACACTGGTGACAGCAGGGTAGGCAGGAAAGGGGTCCCCATCATTCACTTGTAACTGCACCCCAGCCCCGGAGCTGGCTTGCAGGGAGTTCTCAGCGGAGAGCTGAAGGGCGTATCTGCCGGCCTCATTAAACCCCACGCTGAAGACCTCGAACTACAGGTTCAGTGTCTTCTCTTCGGCCTTCAGCCTCTGGCTTAGCAGGGACGCAGGGACCCGGGGCTCCGGCCCCCTAAAGGCCATGGCCGCCGTCAGGGACTGACTGCAGGGCTGAGTGCTGCCCGTCCCCTCCACAGTCCCGGCCAGGGCCCATTCTGAAAGCTTACACACTGGGCCCTCAGGGCCGCACCTCACCCCACTCTGTTTGTTTGAAGAGAAACCAGGTAACAAGCCAGGAAGCTGGGCCTATCCCGGGGGAACAAAGGTGGCCATTCATCCCTCCCTTTCAGTATTTGTTCATTCTACAAATATTTATTGAGCACCTACTATGTGCCAGCAAAATTCTAAGCATTTGGAATATAGCAGTGAGCCAGACAAAGATTCCTGTCCTGGTGAAGCTTATCTTTTAATGGGAGGAGGGGGCAGGGGAGACAGACAAAAATAAACACTAAACATAGAAAATAAGTAAATTATAATGTATACTAGAAGATGTCTTAAAAAAAATCAAATGATAAAAAAAAGTTATAGTAGGGGCAATGGTGATTCAGTGGTTGAATGATCAACTTTTACACGGGAGACCCAGGTTCAATTCCCAGCCAATGCTCCTCATGCACAGTCACCACCTGTCTGTCAGTGGAGGCTTGTGCGTTGCTAGGATGCTGACCAAGTTTTAGCAGAACTTCCAGACTAAGATAGACTAGGAAGAAAGGCCTGGAAGTCCACATCCAAAAATCAGCCATTGGATCACAACGGTCCAATCCTCAACTGATCATGGGGTTGATGAAGGACCGGGCAACATTTTGTTCTGTTGTACGTGGGGTCATCATGAGTTGGGGTCTGACTAGATAGTAGCTAATAACAACAGAAGATGGTAAATTCTATGGAAAAAATTAGAGCAGGGTTAGGGATGAGGAGTACTATGGGGTTGGGGAACACATGGGTATAGGATATCCTATTTCTGGAAACGCCTCTCTCTACACACCTCCTCATTCCCAAGAGTTTTTGACTTGTCTTCTCCCTTGTCCTCTCAAGGGAAGGCAGATAGTGTCTTTCCCTGGGAGCCCAGAGTCTCTTACACCAAAGAGTTGTCAGGCTGGACTCCATCCTCCCTGACCCAGGATCTTTTTACCCAATGGGAGAGGGGCGGGCCTGGAACATCCCTCAGTAAGAACTACCTCTACTATCATTACTATCACCACCACCACCACCATCACCCTCACTTCTACCACCACCACCACCTCCATCACCACCACCACCACCACTGCCATCGCCTCCACCACCGCTACCACCTCCGCCATTACCACCTCCATCACCACTGCTATCATCTTCCACCATCACCATCATCACCACCATCATCATTACCACCACCACACCATCGTCTTCACCATCACCATCATTGTTAGCATTACCCGGTATGATTGATGATACTCTTCATTGAGCAGCTCCTGGATACCAGGCACTCCCTATGGCTCTGTGAGGTGGATATAATTCTCCTTATTTTACAGATGAGGAATTTGAGGCTAAGAGTGTTAAGAAACTCTTCCTATATCACACAGTTAATAAGAAGCAGAGCTGAGATCTAAATCCAGGGATTCTAAATCTATCTGTATTTTCTCATACTAAACATGCCCTGGGACTGGCCACCATTTTCAATCATCCTAACTCAAAGAAATTCATTCTATTAGGGAATTCTGTACCCTAAAACTTCAGAGGTATAGTTTTGAGTCTAAAGAGGACACTTAGGACAGCATAGATTTCATTGTAAAGTCCCCTTGACTAGAAAGCATGGTTTTCATAGAGTAAAAGATACTTGTTATGGATTGAATTGTGTTTACCCAAAAAATGTTGAAGTCTTAACCCTTATACCTGTGAATGCAACCCTGTTCAGGAACAGCGTTTACTTTTGTTATGCTAACAAGGTCATATCAGAGTAGGGTGGGTCTTAAACCTAATCCCTTCTGAGTAGTCTCTTATAAAAGGGAAAATAGACACACACACACACACACACACACACACAGGGGGAAGACAGATGCCAGGTAAAGATACATCTACAAGCAGTCAAGGAATCCTAAGGAATGACCAGGGCTACAGACAAGGAAGAACCCTAGAGCCAATGCCTCTCCAAAACTGTGAGAAAATGAAATCTGTTCTTTAAAGCCATCCACTTTTGGCATTTCTTGTTATAGCACCACTAGATAACTAAGACAATACCAATCTAGAGATGGTATTGACCACCCCAGCTACAGATGGCCCCATTGTATGGTGAGCTTCCTCTGCAATGGCTAAATTTCAGTTTCTTCAGGTTTCCCAAAGAGAAACTGAGGCAAAGAGGGTTTAGAAGACCCAAGTTCTAGTCACCTGATTTGCAGTTGTTCAACAAATCCCTGGCCGTCTCTGGAAGTCAGTGCCCCCATCTGTACAATAGGTGGGAGTGGGGTAGATAAGTCATTTCACGGCCCTGACAGTCTGAAATTCCATTTAAGTCATATTGGGAAAAGCCATAGTATGGCCTTTTTGGGGAGAGGGTGGGTAACAGGGGTTACCTGGAATCTTTGCCTCAATAGCTGAGCATGGCCAACAGCCTGGGTCAAAACCCATTGCCATTGAGTCAATTCTGACTCATGGCAACTCCGTGTGTTACAGAGTAGAACTGCTCCATAGGGTTGTCTTTACAGAAGCAGATTGCCAGGCCTTTCTTTTGTGGCACTGCTGGGTGGGTTTGAACCACCAACTTTGAGGTCAGTAGTGGAGTGCAAACTGTTTGTGCCACCCAGGTACCTTAGCCTGGTTCTAGAGGCTGTGATTTCCCTCTGCCAGGTCTAACATCATGGAGAGTAGTAATTCAGTAAAAGCAGCTCTCTTCCCTTGCATGTTTGAAGCGACCGTAAGAGATGTTACGAGGTAGGGGTCAGTCCCTCCTGCCCTCGGCTCAACCTCTGTGCACTGCACCCCAGCCCTGTGCCCCTGTAGTCAGGCCCCAGATGCAGACTCCGGCTTTCCTTAGCCTGTGTATTCTGAGTCCCTTCAACATTTTGCTCTTTCCACCTCTCTCCCTTCATTCCCTCCCACTTTCTACAGAAGATGTGAGGTGACTGTGTTGGCCTTAGCATGAATTTTGGGACCTCCACCATCTGACCTCTGCACCTCTCCCACTTCTGGCCTTCCCTCCCCCACTGTGGCTCCAGGGAAGGCTCACTTTTGCCCCAGGCCAGGCCTGCCCTTTCTCACCTTCCTGCCTTTGCTGGTGCTGTTGCCTCTGCCCAAAGTGCTCAGCACCACCTGGCACAATCCTACTCACCCTGCAGACTGGATAAAAGCCTCCTCCCCTCCTCTGCCACACCGTGTGCTTCCCTCTCCTGTCTCAAATGATGACCTGTCCTTATTGGACTGATGATGTTTGTGTGCCCAGGACAGAGCTGGGCAAGGGATAGGTGATTGGGAGAAGGTGAAAGCATTGTGGAATGAATGCATGCATGCATGAACAAATGGAAGAATAAATGAATTAATGAGCAAACCTGACCCAGCTTCTGCTTGTGCAGAGAAGAATCTGGAAACCCAGGTTCTTCTGGCTATGTCATCTGGATTCCATGAGAAGCAAAGACCATTTTGGGTCTTTGACCTGAACTTGGACTCAGAGCTGCATCCTGGTCCTCGATGGACAAGGCATGTGCCCAGGAGAAAGGGCAGCAGCGTGGGGGTGAGTGACAGAGCAGAGGCAGTGGCTTCCTTGGGCCTGTCCTCAGCTCTACTGAGAAAATCATAAAACCTCAATGAGTTCTAGCAAGTCAGGGCTGGATGGCACTCCCATTTTACAGATGGGGCAACTGAACCCAGGGCAGCCCAGTGCAGAATTCTTTTCACTCCCAGTTGCCTACCAATTCAGTTTCTGTAGTTTTCCACTCCAGAAGAGGCTTTTCCTGGGTGGCAGAGGCCTTGCAACCCCAGAAGGAGCCAAGAAGGGGTGGGGTGGGGAGGTGGGGAGGGAGCAGTACTGACTTCCAAGGCCCTTTCCTTGGACCCAGCATGAAAGACTTTAATGAGACCCTTGAGTTTTCTTTCTTCCCCTGAAGAAAGGCCACTCAGAGGCCTCTGGCTTTGTCTGGAAGAGCCTGGGCCTGTAATTAGCCCACCCCAGAGGGCCCCCTTCCTGCCGCCCACAATGCCTTCTTTCAGCCTCCACCAGCTGACACCACCCGCCCCCCACCCCCACCCCATGGCTCCTGAGGGACCTCAGACCCCTCCCCGAAGACCCACCTCCTGGGCCTTTGCTCAGAGCTGACTCCTCCAGGCAAGGCCGTCGGTGAGTCTCCTAGGACTATTATCCCTTTCTACAGATGAGGAAACAAACGCAGGCTCAGAGAGAGTGTGGCGAGTGAAGAGATGCACCTGGACCTCAAGCCTCCTGATTCTCAGGCCAGTATGATCATGTGATCATCACCTCCCCACAGCAGGACTTCAGTACCCTGCCCCCTCCAGCAGCCTCCCCTTCCCTACACTGGAAACGTCCCAGGCCCACACCCCACTCCCTTCAAGTCCAAAAGGCCAGAGGCTCACGTGATGGTAGAATCGCAGACTCAGACCGGCAAAGTGAAAGCATGGGAGCCAGCCTCTCTCCATTGCACAGATCGGAAAACTGAGGGTCAGATCAGAAAAGGACTTGTTTGTGGTCACTCAGGACAAAATTAGAAGGCCAGTCTCTTCCCCCCACTAATTGTTGTGACTAGGGCTGGGGTCTGGCTACCTTGGAACTCTCCCCTCTAAGTGGTAACTGTCATCCTCCCCCCGCCCCCCATCCGGTTCCCCTGGCCCCTTGCCCCAGGCTCCAGCACTGAGCACTGTCTGGAGAGTCTTGCTCATCCCTGAAGGCCTCGTACTGCTGCCTTCAGCCAAGCAGGAGGCGGTAGAGGAGAGCTGGGGCTGCAACTGCTAATCCCTGGGCTAGTCAGACAGCCCCGGTCTGCCAGCCTTGCCTCAAGGGGATAAAGCTCCTGGAGTGGAAGGAGGAGAGGGTGCTAGCCTCGCTGGCAGTGTCAGAGGCACTGACCTTTGCCTTCTGTGTGCCCAGTCACCTGGCTGCTCTGCTG